GAAACTGCAGCCAGACCCAGACCCACACATTGATATGGAGATGTGGGACTATAAATAGGAGGGATGAAGGCAGCAGAGATCAGATTGTCTCTACAGAGACCTCTACAGCACAGAGATCCACACATGGCTCCTACAATCACTGCAGCAATGACCGACTCTCAGGAGCATCTGACTCGCAGCCACAAGGTAAATTGAARATTCAAGGAGACGTGCTCTTCTTTCACCAGAGCTTGTGTTTGTTCATGCTCACACTTGACTCCAGAATACGTTGATGACTRACTTTGTYCTTGTCTCTGCAGCTCAGAAAGCCTCTGGTGGAGAAGTTACGCAGAGAGCGAATCAACAGCAGCATCGAGCAGCTCAAGTCTCTCCTGGGTCCAGAGTTCCTCAAACAGCAGCCAGACTCCAAGCTGGAGAAAGCAGACATCCTGGAGATGACAGTTTACTTCCTCAGACGWCTGCAGCAGCAGCAGCAGCAGCAGAATCCAGCTGTGGGCTCAGCAGCGGTCAACCGGGGCTACTCCAGATGTGTCCAAGAGGTGGCACACTTCCTGTCCAGTGAGGAGGTGAAGGCACAGTCGCAGAGAAGACTGATGAAGCACTTCAACAAGCTGCAGTCTTCSTCTGATGAGAAGCTGAGAGAGGCTGACTTCTCTCCTCTGAGCTCCACAGTCCACACCAGCATCACYAAAGACAAGAGTCYGGTCAACAGCGCCCCCTGGAGGCCGTGGTAGACACCTGAGGACTTTTATCAAAGTGAAGCTCAAGATCAGAAACTCTCCAACAACTGTGCTCGTTCTCGTTGTCATCTCGTGTTTGAAGAGTCATTGCATGCTAATGCAATTTTCTTATTGTTTTTTACTTTTGTAAAAGTTAAATTGTGTTTCTGTGATATTTGCAGACAACAGGTCGACTGCTATTTTAACCGTAGTCACTTATTTCTTATTCAGATGTTACTCTGTGATGTACACGTTATTATTATCACAATGCTTGTATATTGTCGCTAACACAACAGTGATCAATGTACAGACAAACTGAGACGAGCTCAGTGGTCAAAAGTTATTTTCTATTCAGTTGAATCAGAAAAATCTTTTAAAGTCCTATTGGACTGATAATTTCTTTCACGTTTGAAAGCATGATTTCCAAATTGTTTCTATTATGAAACACAGCTTTGTATTCTATGAATACTATCATCTTATTGATTTATCAATATGCTACAGAACGTACTGCAACTGGAAACCTTTAAACTGCATTACTGTAGTGTTTCTCAGAGTGCAGCTTGTATCACGTACTTGCATCTATATTTGTACAATGCAAAAGATTGTCGATCCATGTTGGGTCTTGAAGTCATGAACTTGTTTGACATTTGTTAGCAGCATAAATGTGAAACTGAAAGTTTTTTTCTTTCAATATAAGATAGTTGGTTCACTTTGTTTGGACTGAATGACTCACAGTCTCTTTTAAAGAAAAGAAAGTCCACGTTCACTTGTCTCTTATTGAGTTCATTGTCTTGGACGTCAAGTTTTTATTGTGATGTATCATCACTACATATGGACATAAGATGTGATTCATGTTTTCTCTGGTAATAAAACATATCAACTGAATTTTAAACTGAGCTATTTTGTTCTTTACACCAAACTCATCTGAATCCAACATGAAAGACTGAATTCCCTAAGTTCCTAATCACCACAAGTTTCCCAACATCAGCTAGACAGCAGCTGCTCACCAGTTCATAATTTTTATTGCTATTTATTATTGGTCAACATCCGCCCGACAACATAACCTTTCTTACATAGCAACGTGTCTCTCTTCTTGTGTCTCTTCCCACATGAGGCAGATCTCTGTTTGCCTCCTTTAAACTGGAGAGTGATGAGCCAACTGGACTCAGCCGTGCCCATCACCTCCTGGTACAGCTGCTCTGATGAGCCACCTCCGCAAATTATTACAACATGACTGAGTGACGATAACGTGAAGATAACACGACAACTCAGATAAAACTGAAACTCTGGGAGTTTTTCATAAAACCAGGGCAAAGTCAGGGAGGAGGGCTTTAATTTTTAAAAGTGTTTGAGGGACGCCCATGCAGAAGACCCATAAAACATCCTGTTTCACAACAGTGGATATGTCTGCAACATCTCATGAGTTTTCAAGCACAGCTATGCTCTCAAAATGAACTGAAAGTCTTTTGACTGTTTCATAGCCCAGGTTTAAGACTGATAATAATAATGACACTAATAATAATAATCTAAATAGTGTGACTTATCTTATCTTTTCTTGCTAGTTTAT